GAATTCAGGATGTGGTTATCTTTCCTGAAGGATATTAACCAGTCTTACCTGAGCTATAGCAAACTGGTCGTAGAAAGCTGAGTTGTCCAGCCCGAGTTCTAAATCAGTGTCCTGCAGGTCCTCACAACTAAAATATGACACAAAAGCTGGTGTTGAGGACGACCGCTGCATTGTAAAAGTAAATGTTCTGAAAAGTTGAGTTTGTGCACTGCTCTCTTACCTGCTGGGCATAGTCCCACCCTCTGTCACGGAGTCGCACCACATGTTGAAACCAACACTGATGATGGTGCTGGACAGGAAGACTGTGAACACCACCAGGGAGCTGATCAGCAGGTTGAGGAACGCGTTAAAGATGGAGCTGCAGACAGGTAGAACAGAGGATAAAACTGTGAAATCCCTGATTTATGTTTACATTATCCATATCAGATCTATCACATGGCTTTATTTAGTTATCTGTGTGTTATAATGCCTTCCAGTCAGACGTGAACATTATGACCTAGGTTGGAAATACTGTTTGTTAGCCACAGTAGGCAGTGACTTAGATGTTTCAAAGGCAACAGTGTATTGCCTCCATCTTTTTAATGGAGGACCACAATGACTAGTCCTTTTTATATACTCATTATATGGCATTCATCATAGCATAGCCTACATTACACGCAGTGCCAGAATAACACATGGAAGGGCGTGGGAGATGGCCAAATAAAAACACTTCTACATTGAGCCCTACGTGATGCAGCATGCCCTGAGCTCTTAATAGTGCTCTATTGAATTGTGTTGACGGAGCACAAGTGAACGGTCACTCACTCATCGTGTCCTTTGCACAGTAAGAAGAGCAGCCTCCATGCCTGCACTGCGGACAGTATGAGGGACGATATCCCGACAAAAGTGATGAAGCTGCACGAGGACTCGGGTCCCCACTCCTCCACGATGAAGCGCTGCTTCGACACCGTGATGTTCTCGTTTTGCCACATTCCCCGCGTGAAGAGCAGGCATTTTCCTCCGAAATCCTCCGTGTTTTCAGACATAGGCACCACGGCGATGAAGCCGAAAACGAAGGCAAAAAAATAAAGGATGCATTGCCCGAAAATTAAATTATCGAGGGCCATTTTTCTATCTGCCTCTGCTGCTCTCTGCGTCCAGGAGAAACTGCGGCTGCGCAGTGGAGGCAGCGATGAGCGGAGCAGCATCCGACGCTCAGACTGCTGGGGGGGGCTCCAGGGGTCCACATCTGATCTGCATCCAGCTGTGGAGATCTTCACTGGTCCTCTCATTAACACAGATATTTAACAGTTATATGACTCTAAATTCAAAGATTCAAAATGTTTAATATCATATCATATACACAACTTCAGTGTAGTGTGACAATACTATGTTGGTATTGTCAAACCTATAATGAAAAAGTCACAGTAGCCTATGTTGAAAGAACATGAAAAGAGTCATATTATAGTATGTTCAAAACAATTATATTTTAGTAGGCCTACATGGAAAATATCATGAAAAAGTAATAGTAGGGTGATGAAAAATCATGGTAGTGTAACGTCCGAGGTGTTAAGGCTTCAAAGATACTTCTGTGTAACAAGAGCTCAGGAACTTTAGTAGGCAACTTTTTGGAGCGTCACAGACAGCACCTCCGATTATTATTGTATAGAGTCACACCACACTCTCCTTTACAACTTCAGGACAGACTGTGCATGCTCAAAACACATGACCTCTCAACCCAATGCTTACATGCGTCCCCCCTTACTGAAAGAAATGTCCCCATTTCCACATGGTGAGAACACAAAAAAACATTTAAAAAAAACTATACAACAACGAAAAACCCCAAAACGTACACAATACCCTGCAGAACAATACGCATGACCTAAACATAAAAAAAAAAAATCTTTGAATAAAAACAATGACGAACAAAACACATCCACAGCCCAAATAAGACATCAAACTTGGTATGACATAACCTATTCCCCTGTCCTGCACACTTGAAACATGAACAAAAAACACAATTATGCAGCATAGAATACACAGGAGAAAATAAACACACAAGCATGTAAACACCAGTCATTCAGCCCATAACAAAGTCCATGAAGCGGACATGAGGCCACGCTAACCTCCCAGCCCGAGACACCGTCGGTGCGGCTTGTTCGAGCTCAGGGGAATCACCAGCCCCAGAACCCGGCCCAAGATCACAGTCACTTTCCCCATCGGAAAATCTCAAGCGTCCAGAGCTCTGTGGGGAGACCTTGATGGTCCCTCCAAGTTCAGAACTTCAAGCTCAAAACACATGACCTCTCAACCCAATGCTTACAGTAGTATAGTATACCGAAAAAAGTCAAATGATAGAATGTGGAAAATATCATGAAAAACCTCATAATAATTTCGAATATATAATGCAATAAGTCGTACTATTATATGGCTAAAATATTTTTTTTTAAAGTTATAATAAAGATTGTAAAAATATATAATGAAAACAAGTTATGTTTTTTAGTATGTCAAAAAGTCATCAAAAGTTATAGTATGTCATTGAAACAGTCATAATCAGGAATAGTATGACATAGTTTATCCTAGAATGTCATAAAGAAAAAGTAAAAGTATAATGTGTCATAAGAAAATGTCATCGAATATTATTGATTGATTGATTGATTGATTGATCGATTGATTGATTGATTGATTGATTGATTGATACATTTATTTCGAAAAAGTAAAATAAATAAATACAAAAACTAAAAATGTTGCAGTGCATAGTCATGTAAGAGAAAACGAAAAACAAAGTGACATTTACAACAACAACAACAACAACAACAACAGCATTAGCAACATAAACAGTCCCACATCTAGTGTTGGAAAAGGAGCAAGAACAAGTATAACTTATTTAATCTCACCCCCTTGTCCCTAAATAAATGATGCCATTTAAAAAATCATATAGTGTTTATAATGTTGTTAATGAGAAACATAGGATGTGCTGTTTAACATTTTAATAATGTACCCAACATCCAGTATACATATTTGGTCATTATCTCCTATATTAAAAAGAAAATTCAAGATTGGAAAAAGTTGCCATTGTGGTGTAACTTTTCAGATATGTTTATTTAAGGTGACCAGTGCAATCATGCCCTTGTACACACCTGCAACCATGACCACACACACACACACACACACACACACACACACACACACACACACACACACACACACACTGTACTCAGAAATTAGACTAATGGTTTGTTTATACATGGTGACAGTCCTTAAGGAAGGGCAGGTAGCTGTCACAGCCATCTGACACGCTTCACTGAGCCCATCTGGTGAGCTGGCCAAGGTGTCTCACCCCTCCTCCACCACCCAGCCTCACTGCCGCTCACAGTGCCCTCCAGTGGGCAAGGCCCCTGCATAGTCAGACCCTCTGTCTGATGTTCTTACCTCAATTATGTCCTTGATGTAGTCTACAGATGCTGCCCAATGGGATGAAAATACCTTCAGATAAAAGGGAAGCAGCAAAGTGACCAGCTTCTTTACAGACTAGCATGCATTCAGTGTGCGCACCAAAACAAATATGAATGATTTGTGTGCATAGACATACACAAAGACAAGTATTTATATGAGAGCTTCCCAGACCAGAGAGATGGTTATTTGTATCCATCATAAAGTGCAGCATTTTGCATGCCCTCCCTTGCACATGATTTATGTGTCATTTTGCTGCTCCACAGCTCTCTTTTTTCCATGATGTTATCAGCTCTCAGATTAGCTTGAGTCATTGCGTGTGCTTATGTGCATGTGTGCTCTAGGTATGCTTTTAGACATCATTAGGTATTGTAACTTATGTTTCATGCTCCTTATGCATTTTTCTCTGGCAGACCTTTATTCTTATATGATAAATTGTCCAGATGACTATTTCCTTATAATACATCAAGTTGCAGTTTAGACCTTTTTTGGTTGATGTATTACACTGCTTGTAACACAGCATTCTCTCCTTTTCTAATAGAAAATCAGAGCGCATGGAGTGAACCATAACTATGCTGCCATGCTAATGTTCTGGCTAGACCTCAGACATCACCTGGTATCAGAGCTGCTGCCACACCTGCAAGGTCACAGAGTAAAACAGAGTAACTCTATAAGGCTTTCCTGCTTAACACAAACAGGAGATTACATGCACATCCACACACAGAACTCCGAACCACACTTTTAAATAATACAGCATGTGTGGGCTCGTGAACTGGCCACCCAGGGGAGACCCAGAGCACAAGTGTGTCAAGCTGAAATATGTGTTAAGTTATTCACCCCCAGAACAAGCTAACGGGGGAGGGAAGGAGAGATGGAGGGAGTGAGGGAGGAGGATGCTAACCCAAATGCAGTCCCTTGGCTATGTGCAAATACGGGGAGCGATGGGCAGCAGAAAGCACTGGGAGGTCATCCATTTTTCATGAGATGCAATGGCAGCAAAGCAAACATCCTTTTTTCTAGAGGAAAGAAAACAGTCAAGAATCTTAAATGCAGAATTATTTTCAAGGACACCACACTGCATTTTTTGTGAAGAGCATTTATGTTTAAAGTGGACTAACATGCCCTTGTCAACAGATAATACACATACACAATATAAGCCAACATTGTTCTTTTTTATTGGAGTTTTAATGAGTTAAGTATTTAATAGTTTGTGTTTATCAATAATCCCTGAGAAATCCATTAATGAGTGTTTCTGACACGAGGTATCACCGTGGAGGAAAAAGGGTGTGGCAGGACAACATCAGCGGGTGGGAAAGGTTGCTGATAGAAGCAGAAGCAACAGCCGTCAGATTATACTGACCCCCTGATTGATGAGGAAGGGGAGACGGATCACTTCAAGGTGAAAAGTCTATGCGGTGCTCACCAAGCCTGTCGGTTTCAGTCAGTTCATTTGGTGCAAGTTTATCCTTACATTACAATGTGAATCTGATCTGAATCAATACAAATGTTATAGACTTAGCAAATATATTCCATTCAGTTCATGTGTAAACTAGATGTGTTTTATGTCTTCATGCTCTCTTCACTCGTTTCCCTTTCCGTAGCGTTCTCCCACTTCTTATGGCACCTTGTGAACCTTTCCCCAAACTGCTCCAACCCGCGGGCTCCTCTTTGTCTGCCTGTAACACGAAACAAAAGCAGAAAACAGACACAATTACAGCCTCATATCCTGGGCAGTGATGTGGATGGCCTGATGAAATATCCTGTGCCCATTAATCTTTCCCCAGGGGGGCGCAGGAGAATGGGTGCACTGATTAAATGCTCCTAATAGAGGCCATTCGTCTCCCCTCGGATCCTGAACGTTTCAAAATCATCCAACACTACTCCCCGCCTCCGTCTGTGAAAATATTGGTATTTTCATAAAGACAGCAAAGTCGATAATATTTCACTCTGTGATATCTTTTTAAGCGGGTATGATCTCTTTTTCCATTTCATCGATTACTTTGTTTTGAACACGGGGAATATCTCGTTTACAAGTTAGCCAAAACAATCATAATAAACAGTCACGCATTAGGTCATACGAGACGAGATCAGAATTTATAGCTAACACTAATTACTATGTTTAATATCCTGATTTTTTTTATCTTTAGCCACTATGCCATTAAATAGATGATGGTTTGATCAGCCAGTAAGGGTTTGTCCTAAACTCATTTTCACACATTAATCATTCATATCTGCCAATTAAGCAAATCCTACACAGCATAATTTCTATACAGGATGAACAATTAGATAACACTAACAGCACTGCTTTCAACACAACCCCCTGGAAACACACTCACACTGAGAGTGCAAGTTAATGGGTGTAATGCATTCACTACAAACATGCACTGTACAACCAAAGTAGATTGGCCGTGATAAACACACACTGTTTGTACAGTGTATGCTACTCAGGCCTGAGGTATAATCATCATTAATTAACATGGCGTAAACGTTTCACCTGCCAAGCTCCATATGTTCCCCAAATCTCAACAAAAATAATTAGGTGACTGCATCAAACAATTATCCAATAAACTCTCAGTAAAACAATTACATGGTCATATCTGTGCAATGATGTTACAGTGCTTGTTCAAGTCGATGCACAACATTATAATTATGCAATATAAAGAGGTGACGACATCAGCTTCAGATATTATATTTTTGACAAATAATTGTTTCTTTTAAGTCCGCACTTCAAGAAACAACACAATTGATTCATATCCCCTCAAGTACAGCCTTCACATTTGGAAAATGACATCATTGTAAGCTGGGATCTTAAAGCAGCGGTGTTAATGCTTGAGGACAGGAGAAAGAGGGATGAAGGGTAGTAAAGAGGGCACCTGCTGGGTTGTGATGGAGCAAAATCCCCAGGGACCAGAAATGAGATCATCCAAATCAGAGCTGCTGTCAGGCTCCTTAACTGGAACAACAGTGACCCCTACTGTTCCCACTGGCTTAAATCTCCTTATAATGAACACACGCTGTACACGCCTCCATGTACAGCATGTATCATCAGAAGAAAGGTACCTGTTTGCCATCGCTGCTGTCGCCTTTCTTTTTTGCAGTGAAGTCCATGAAGTTAACCAGACTGTTGGAGTATGGTTGGCCCAGAACAAAAGAAGGCCTCTTATCCTCTGTGGATGAACAGAAACAAAAACATGAATATAACATCAAAATGGTCTCTTTGTTTCTAATGATACTTCACCAGTTCTAATGATCCATTGCTGGAAACATCAGACTTAATCTGTAATCCAGAGGCTGCCTATTTGACACTATCCTTTTAATTGTATGCAACATTGCTCCACTCTCATGTCTTTAACCCTTGTTCCACTGACAAGGTTGGGGCATCAGCGAGGGGCAATAGGCCGTGGACCCCTGAGGCCCCGGAGTGATGAGCACAACGCGGCAGATGGAGGGAGGTCTGCCTGCAGTGGAAGACGGTATACACCCCCCATAGAAAGAGTGGGGGAGGGGGTTGAAGGGGTTGTTTTATGGATGACTGACTGCTTCAGCAAGGTTAAGGGAACCAATCTCTGACACTTCACTTCCTCAACAGTCCCCCTCTCCTCACAGCGCAGACCCCCTGCCTCTGCTACATGTACCTGTGTGCTGCACCATGATGTGAACAGCGGCCCCTCTGACATATAATTACATCCCGCCAGAGCACAAACACAAATTATTCCTGCTTAGACCAATGCTAGCAAGGACGTCAATGGGGTATTCAATTAGCACGTGTAAGAAGCTTTTGCAATGTTTAAGAAGCTCTAAAAAAGACAACATGTTTCCTTGTCTTTACAGACACGTGTACACCATTTGGTTGTAAATGGTGGTATATGAATAGTAGTGTTTATTCTTAAGTGTAAAGAAAATTGAAAATGCTTTACCTGATGTAAAAGTCGCTTCTGGTGCTTTAGTAGGTAGAAGGCCAGTGGAGGCTCTATGTGTTTCCAAATCCTCTTTCAAGCAAAGGCCCATGTTGTATTGTTCAAGCCAGGCTGAGGTGCTCTTGACATCCATCTGTAATTGGGCTTGGAGGGAGCACTCATTGGTGTTGTCAGAAGGAGCAGATGTGGTTATGAGGTCGCAGGTTGTGCTGGGGGTCAGAGAGCTACCAGGGAAGTGAAGCTGTGAGGGGAAAATTGAGCTGCACACAGGGGTGAGGAGGGAGAAGTCCTGCTGACCCGGCTCTAAATCCCCTGAGCCTGTGGCTGCTGGATCCTCTGAGTGAAGGTCAGTCAGAAGGTCCTGAGTGGTTTCAGACAGAGCCCAGGAGAGGTCTTGATTGAAGCATGCAGCTGTTTCCTCTTGCTGGTCAGGCTCATATGTTTTCTGGTCACATACAGTGAAAAAGAATACACATGAAGAGCCCCATTTTGTAAAAAGGTATTGTAAAAATCAATCTACGGTATGTATGTTCAAGTTAAAGAGAATTATTGCATACCAGATTAAATTCCTTTTCCATGAAAAAGTCAGATATGTCTGCTTCACTAAAATTGAATATCTGTGAGGGCATGCAGTCTGATTGGTCCTCTTGGTTGAGTGACAACGCAGAGCTGCACAGATCAGTGACATCTGGGGGTTCATGAACTATGTCCTCTCCTCTGCTGGCCATTTTCTCTGCGGGGTAAATGTTCATGCAGTGATGTGAACATTCAGTAAAGAACAATTTAGCTGGATATATTTGTGTTGCTTCAGCTGGATAAACGTACACACCATAGTCAGGTGAGAGGATGCTATGACCCTCCACCGCAGACTCACAGAGCGAGGGTCCTGATTGGCTAACCTCATTGCTGTGGAACTCAGGAGGAAAATACAACCTGCAACTTGACCAAAGCAAACATATAACTCAGTTTGAATTGACTCGCCAGTGTTAAATGCACCATAAGCATATTGCAGGATAAGATGACCTCTGACCTTTCTTTTACAGGAACGTTCTCATCCATTGAAGGTCCTGAGGTCTTGCTGGATAAAACATGTGTCTTAATATCCTCTTGCCCTGAGAAAGAGTTTATTTTTGTCTCATGAATGTCTCTCGAAGTGAATATAGTACAAGTTAAATGTTTTCTAAAGCTTACCCTCGGAAGATAGAACCACAACGTCTTTTTTCAAGTTGTGGTCTAGCAGAGAAATGGTGTCTGTGGCGCCATCTGCTGTCATCTCAGGGCAATGTGGCAAAGATGTTCTGCTTTCTTCTTCTTCTTCCTCCTCCTCCTCTTCGCTGCTTGGGTTCTCTCCATCAGTGAGGAGAGAGGAGATCCTCTGCAGAGTCACTGTACTTCTGTACTCATAAGGACCGTCCCGTCTCAACAGAGGCAGTGAGGATGCTGAGGTGAAGGAGGAGATGTTCTCAGAGCTCAGATCCTCAGAAGAAGAAATGCTCTCTGGTGGTTCAGGCTTCTGCTTGGACAAGAAGAGATGTAAAGGGCAAGGATCATTATTTCTCAAAATCAATGATCTACTGTTGTGGTCATTTATCTCAGGGCCACTGACAATGCATACATTAGAGACAGGCTGTTTCTCTTCTGCTTCATCTGTATGTGCTGTCTGAACTGTTTCTTCTAACATGGCCAGTGGGGAGGGGCTGGGCGTGAGATGACGGAAAGCCTGGGTCGACAGAAACATCTCTCTGCTGTTCGATTTTCTCTCATTGTGCTCCGGCGACGCAACCTCACTGGAATAAAGATTATGGGAAAATGAGTTGTCCATGCAAATAAACATATTTTAAAGTGATTCAACCTATGATGTCAACACGCCATCTCAGTACCTTATCTTGGGGTGTAGCGTTCTCACTTCCGTCGCAGCCTTTCTGAGCAGTCGTACTAATTCCTCTGGGAAGACTGTGTTGACGCTCTGAGCCTGATACAGTTTGGCAGACAGCGGGCAGGGTGGCCTTTCTGCTGACATGTCTATTAGGAAAAAAATATAGTTGTTAAATGTATTACACTTCAATCTATCCATTTAAACTTCTATGTGTTTATCTGAATACCTTTCTTTATCAGTGGCAACCCTGTAGTCCCATTTACAATGTCCTCCTCACCCTGATTAAACGATATAAGGGAAGATATGTCATTTCAAGGCCAAATATCTTTGGTGCATTTGCTGTATACATTGATATTCACCTACATTGTATCCTGCAGGGATGCACTTTAAAGCTTCTGCACACAGACCCAATCCATTACAGACCTGGAGGAAGTACAGGACCACCTCATCGCTCTCTGTGTGGCCTCTCTTCAGCAGAGCCCAGGCTTCAGAGACACAACTGGGGAGCAGAGACATTGTCAGAAACACACAAAAGATAATAGGTAATAATATTAGCTAAATTAAATGTAATGTAATATAGCCATCAGTGTACCATAATGCACCTGTTTTGAAGTAGCACATCTGCACATAGCTTCACATCCTCAACGCTCTCCATTGCAGGCCTGGTCCAGTGAAGGTACTTTAACGCCAGCTGAGGCTGCTTCCTGGTCAGCAGACAGCGGATGATGCAGCGATGCTGCCATGTGAGACATGGAGCAGCAGCCCGGGGGCTCAGCAGTAACTCCATGGAGGCCTGGGCAGGATGGTATATGACATAAAGTAGAAGAGACTGTCATTTAAAATGTTGTTTCTTAACATATATGAGAAAACAATTTCCGTTGCACATGTTTTTTGATAAATAAACTGGCCCATCTCATCATCCATGAAAGCCTTCGCTCTGTCTAAAGAGAGGTATACTGCAATATTGTCCATAATGCTTGCACAGTGGAGCGTCATTACAATAATCATACAAGCTACTGAAGTGGTGAATTAGTGACACCTGCTGACCATTATGGGTGCAAAGCCAAGGATGCTAATGTTTTCGACAGGATGGTAACTGACCCAGGCAGCTGTCACATCCACATTTCAACAACAATCAGATCAGTAACTCATCTTTTGTATGAAACCATTTTGTAATGTAGCTTTTTGGTTATGTACCTTGATTTGTCCTTGATCAAGCATCCAGAAGGCCCTGATTTGTTGGGAAAAGCAGAAAGGAATAGAGAAGGCGTGGCAGAAAGATTGGAGAAGGTCGTCTCTGCACTGCAGGAAGTTGGCTGTATCCAGGACAAAGTACATGAGCTGTGACACATGTAGGTTAAGGACTATATGACCTGAATCAAATACACTGTCTGTATACAATATTTGTCTAAAATAAAGCAGAACAGACTAAAATAGAAGAAAAACAAATGTACATTCGGCTTTCTTGATGCTATATTTGGAAGGATACAAGCGCTTGGACTGACATCTTGTCGATATGAGGCACCAACACGAGCTTGAGCAGAGACTGCAGATTAGGAGGGGGATAGCACTGGTCTGTGAAGTCATCAGAAACCCAAATGCTTCCATGTTGTCTCTCTAGCTGGGTCACTATACCCTGTATCAATGACCTAAATCTTCCAATTTCTCCCTCTTTCCGTCTAATCAAAAAAGAAAAGCAGAAAAAATGGAGGAGAGAAACTTCAGCTGGAGATAAAATAATAACAATGGCTCATAACTCCTTCTTTAAAGTGGACCTATCATGCTATATTTGAATAATATATTGTAGGGCCATACCTATATAAAACATGTCTGTGAAGTTTTTTTTTCAAAATACCAAACAGATAGCCATGCCTCATTTCGCTCTATTTGCTGTATTCCAGCCCTGTTTTTGCAAGGGCTGATTCTGTGGCAAATGAGCTGCAGCTGACCATGCCCCCCTGCAAAGGAGGGGGGCAAGGCACGAGCGTCATGTTACCATGCTGTTAATCAAGCTGTTACCATGCTGTTACCATGCTGTTACCATGCTGTTACCATGCCACGGCAACCTCTCATTCCCCTGATAGGTGGAGAGTTGCCCATATAGGCGGAGCTCCCTGTTTATGATGTCAGAACAATTTAAAATCTGTATCAATCTGTATCAGATCCGTTGCAGCCCCGTTTTTAGAGATTTGGGTATGGAGGAAAAGAGAGAGGGTTTTGTTTTCTGACACTTGGTGAGTTCCCTGATACACCGGGGACACATATTCATGTATAAAAGACGTACAAAAGTGCATTTTGCATGATAGGTCCCCTTTAAGTCAAATCATGAGTTACCCAGGTGTCTCGAGACAAGCTTTCCGTTGACTGTGAGCCATGTCCTTCCACATTTGGGAGATACGCCTCACCTCTTGAGCCTCTGACAAAAACAGCAGAAAAGCCTTCAGAGGCGTGATAGCAATTTATCACTTAAATGTAATGTAATGTGTGTGATCATATCTTTACCAGCGTACTTGGGTAGAAGTCCCATAATGCCCCACCACTGTACCAGCTGTCCTAGCCAAATGTGTTGCTTTAGGGCCCCGTGCTCTCGGTTCCAGCAGCCTCGTCTGATGTCTGAGGAGCCTGATGCATCCCTGCAGACAACACATGGGACGCCCATACCTAAACAAGAACATTTGATTATATTAAGTTGACTACATTTACAGTCAAAAATATCAACCAAACCATCATGCTGCTGTATGCTGTGTGTGTATTGGAGTGTGTACCATGCCAGAGGTGGGCTGAACCGAGCTGCTTCCTTGCCCACTGAGCCAGGGTGAGCAGATTCCTCAGTCTCTGCAGCAGCATGTGCACTCTGCTGAAAGCGCTGCGGTCCAGGAACATCCACAGGCCCTTGCAACGACTGAAACCTGTGGGAAGACACAAGAGATTTTAAATAAAAATACTCAGTGTACTTTGAATTTTGAACATTTAAATATGATTGATAGAGAAACATCTTACATAGTGTTAATAACTCCTTCTTAGCAAACTCTGATGTCCTCTGTACCCAGCAGCTGAAGGTCTGTAGGATGTCCTCCATCTCACCCACACCTGCAGCAGGGTGTGAAGCAGGAGATGAAATACAGACAACAATAACTCGTAAAGTGTTACTGCAGGTAGAGGACAAAATTAAAACGTTATGGTAGTCAGATGCTCCTGATGCACCTTCAGCTGTGAGCTCCCGCAGCCAGCGGATGATGGCTCTGATGTTGTTGCTGGCTAACGCCTCGGACCATCGGCCCTCTGTATCCAGCATGATGCCCTCAGACCCCGGGCTCCACTCACAGACCAGGGAGTTCACATGCTGGGATCATAGGACCATTGCTGCAAAACTAATCCTGATACCTATGGTTCATTACAGAGAAGAAACAACTGATTAAACATTTGACATACTCTTTTCTAAAGTTGTTTTAACCATAGCTTTTTTAATGTGCTTAAAGTATCTCATAGTAGGTAAATAACTTGTGCACTTAAGCCCTCTCTCAGGTGTCCATAATTAAATCAATGGATTGTGCAATAACAGACAAAAGTGGCAGTGGTGATTTTAAACAACAAAGAAATGATTTAAAGATTTGATTGATTCCCAGTACTTACTTGGAAACGTGGTGTACTCCCCAGTAGCTCCGTTAAGGTTCACTCTCTTTACTCTGCACAGTGGTGAGTGTTCTGTGTCCCGTCTACCTTGTGGATTAGCTGACTGTTCGGGGGCTTCTGTAACGTTCCCTTGTTACACAAGCTACTTTGGTACATGTTAATCCACTAATCTCACTCTCAGTTAACATTTCCTTGGCTGATTGGTCTGTGAGTGTTTACTGTGTGTGTGTGTGTGTGTGTGTGTGTGTGTGTGTGTGTGTGTGTGTGTGTGTGTGTGTGTGTGTGTGTGTGTGTGTGTGTGTGTGTGTGTGTTACATTTAAAGTTGGAAACAAAATAGCTAGGGCCAGCAAGGGTGAGATGATAGCTGCATTTGAAAAGGGACTTCTTAAATAGGAAGGAAATCCCCTGATCTATCTACAGCTTTAATCTTCCAGGCATTTGTCATTTTGGCCACACCCCAATGAGTGATGTCACAACAAGTTGTTTTTCACAATTGTGCAACAGCAAAACACCGACTGTTTCATCAAAGCACATGCCTCTAAAGTAGAGCTGCAATGATTATTCAAGAAAATGATTTATTAATAATTCTGAATAACTGTAAGCTGCCACCTCAGTAGTTATTTCTGTTTACATAAATGTACTTGTATTAAAAACTCAATTTTTTTTTAAAATGTGCACTTAATGCTTTAGATACCACAGATGAACTAAAATATCACTTTTTAGATTGTCAAATTGGATTGCTGCTCTTTTTTACTACGACTGGTACTACTACTTCTACAAATACAAGCACACCCACACAGACACAATGGCCATCCTCCATTACTTTCACAGTGCCAGGACACACAGATTTGCGTAGGTGGCAGAAGGTAGCACCAAATCCCTCTTGGGCCCACAGGGCTGATTAATGATTAAAGGAGATTAGGAGGAGGGTCAGGACTTGGCTATTAGTCTCACTCTGATGCTCCGGTGGCTGCCTACAAACTATCTGTGTCACTACGGCTAGTCGCCTCTCTGGACTAAATCTGAGGATGTCTTCAGGAAAACAAGCCAAAAACAAGAGGAGAATGATGTTGGATATTCAAGGTGAATGCTGACCTGGATAAGGTAGGCACAGTCTTGAATTCTGTGTCAGTTATTTCTTTTTCCAGGAGTTTTGTCGAGAAATAAATGATAAAGCGCTCGACAAATAAAATGTATTAAATGCCAGGACAATTGTTTTTTTAAGGAAATTATGTTTTTTTCTGTTTCAAACCAAATGATATCTCACTGAACTTTTCTCAGTATGTCTCACATAGATTGTAGATTGTTTTCATACATGTTTCTTGCATACAACTGATCACATGTCATTGTGCTTTGTCTTGTTTTAAAAACAAAAAGGGTTAGGCTAGGGTTAGTTTTGCTGTCATATAAGAATATTTATTTGATGTACTCTCACTTCTGTACTCTCACAGACCTGCAGAGATCTACAGTGTAACCATAATGCAGCGTCCACATGATATCGATCATTACAACCAAGCTAAGCTGCTTATGAGAGGACCTTCAGAGAACTGTACCACCAATCTGCCTCCCCTTGGTCCCCCTCACACCCTGGAGGATAACCCGCTCCTCTCCACTGCTCGACCTGTGTCCCACCCTTAATCCTCCTCTGGACTTAAAGGAAAACTTACCAACCGATTTAAACAATGGCATTTTTGAAATTGACATTCAGCAAGAACAAGAGGGACAAGCTGGCCCAGGTGCTATGGATCCTGAACTGGGTCTCCGTGATGACAGGGATCCTCCTGTTCAGCATGGGGCTCTTTCTCAAGGTGGAGATCAACAAGCGGGTAGAGCTGATGGCTGAGAGGGACATCCAGTATGTTCCCAACATGCTGATTGCAGTTGGCCTCATCGCCTGTGCCATAAACTTCTTGGGAGGGAAGATCTGCTACGACTGCGTGGACACAACCAAGTTCTTGCGCTGGAAGCTCATCTTGCTGCCATACATAATGTGCACCTTCTTCTTCACCTTCTGTGTGCTGGTGGGGGCTCTGATGTGTTACAGCATGCATAGGGAGCTGGAGGAGTCTCTGAACCTGGGGCTGACGGAGGCCATCAGGTTCTACAAGGACACAGACACACCAGGACGATGCTTCCTGAAGAGAACTGTGGACCTGCTGCAGATTGAGTTCAAGTGCTGTGGGAACAACGGCTATAAGGACTGGTTTCAAATCCAGTGGATCAGCAACCGTTACCTGGATATGTCCAAAAAAGACGTGTTAGAGTAAGTACTAATATTAGATTGAGGATAGTGATTTCATATCAAGAGTATAATCACATCTAAGTCGCTGTGAATGACACTGTGTAAACCCAACCTTCCCCAAATATCTCAAAAATACATGCCAGTATAATTTGTTTCAACTTAACGAATCAATATACTTGGAAAAAAAATCATAATAAATGAGTCATTTCCAATTGTGAATATTCTAGCCACTTTCTGAAATTGGTAAAAAGATACTAAATAGCTTGAAATATAATAACTTTGGTTGACAATGATGATATGATTCAGGATAAAGTTTAGTAGGGAACGGCTATTGGTAGAGATAAAACTCAAATTCATTAATATCCATGTGTACTATGGTTTTGTCATTACTGGCATATAAATCCTATTAGTTGGTTGACTCTTTGGAAACCCTAACCCTCCCATGTGGTCCCAAACAATAAAACACCTGAGGTTCACACACAGATGCATTCAAAGCATTAAGAGCATCTCCTTCTTTCTCCTGCCTTCTAGCCGATTAAGAAGTAATGTGCGGGGGAAGTACCTGATGGACGGGGTCCCCTTCAGCTGCTGCAACATCAACTCCCCCCGGCCCTGCATCCAGCAGCAGATCTCCAACAACTCGGCTCACTTCAACTACGAGCACCAGACGGAGGAGCTGAACCTGTGGATGAAAGGGTGTCGCCAGGCGCTGCTGGAGTACTACACCCACATCGTGCAGTCCATTGGCCTCACTGTCCTCATCACCTGGCTGTTTGAGGTGAGGAGACACACGTGATAACGCAATAGTGAAGTTAAGACATAACTATACTTATTTTACAATCAGGGTCGGTTTCCAGTGTCAGCCTCAAGTGACTTAACTTGAGGAAGGTCAGTTCGGAAAGTGAAGCAATTTTAGTTTGCATGAAACTAAAGATCATCATAGCATAGCATAGCATCATAGGAGGAAATTAAATGTTAAGCATCAGTTTGCACGTACTACTTTAAAGCAGATGTGTGTCTCTGTAGTTTGCGTAAAGAAGTGGAATTCTTTGCAGAATGATTTAAAGAACATTTGTATGTTTAAGGAAATGTATAGAGAAAGCGTAATTCGACAGTATGAAGTTGACTTTTGATTGTGTTCCAGTATTTGTAAGCAACTGGGACTGAAAGAATATTGCCTTTATTTTACTTTTTTATGGTTATTTAATTTCCTTTCTTTCTTTTTTTTTTATAAGAAGGGGCAGGTAAAATAAGATGTTCTTCTCCCTGCTCCTTTCCACCATGCGCTATAATATTTTGGGGAAAAAACAGTATAACTGTACATGTTTTGTTTTAAAATAACTGCCTTGTGTGGACTAAACTAATAAATATAATAAAGAAGAAATAAAGAAGAAATTCAGACAAACTCACTAGTCTTTTGACTTCTTGAACCCCGATTTGTGTGCACATTGTGTGATGTTGTCTCTAATGTGCCTCTGTGTGTTTTGTTTCAGCTGTCAGTGTTGACAGGGGTTCGTTACCTCCAGACCTCCCTGGAGAATGGGCTGAGGCAGGGCGACCTGAACTCTGAGTCTGACGGCTGGCTGCTGGAAAACGGTTTAATGGAAACCGCACGCATCAACCTGAACATAATGAAGAACATTGGCAAGTGCAACCAGATAGACACAGCCAACAACGGAGACCCGAACATTGACGTTCCCTCCTCCTCCATAGCACACTAAGGGCCGGACAATGTGCCGCCAAAGCAAATACCTGGCTGAAGGGCATCCATGAAGGCCTTTAAACCGTTATCTAAAGGTTTTTTTTATGTTATTTAAAGTTTTTTAACCATGAGGCAAAAATGACCGTGAAGAAATATCTATACAACGTTTACTGTGTGAAAACTGAAATATATTGAAAGAAATTAATCACTATATAACACATCTCTAATCATGACAGGGTAGATCTTTTCCAAAATGCAAATATGCCTTGTTGTGTAACCAAAGTCTTTCTCAAATTTCTTTTTGATACAAACCCATATAACACACGAAAAATGTACATTGTTTCTGTTCATCTGTACTGTTATCTGTTGTTTACAAATTACATCTTGTTGTCTGTGTATCACAGTTTAGCAACAGGTTTCCAAAACTGTTTTATACACCTGTCGGGTTAGCAACACTGGAGGCTAATTTGAACATGCAATATATTTTAGAATGTGAAGAAAACTGTGTGATGTGGGTCAGAAGTTTTGCCTACGTGCTTATGGCCTCAATTTAAATGCAGTTCAAGTACTTTAAGTCCACAGTTACAGTTTTGGATCCTATCGGTGCATATTATAGGACTATAGCGAATAGAATTGTACCTTTGCTTTTAGTTAAAAACACAAAATCAGACACAAATCGAATTGATAACTCCTTATAACATAATCCTTTCAAACCATTTACAATGACTAACGTGCCTCAGCAATGCCACCATGGTCTTATAAAAACACCTCAGCCATATTTGCTGGGATGAAAAACTAAAAGCTTGACAGTAAAACTTCTGAGCTAGATATGTTCATTATTATTGTTTTGTTACGGCTCCAAACTGTACATTGCAAACTACACTACCAGGGCTTACTAAATGTTTAATAAGTAAGCCTTAAACACATTAGCTGATGACGGCAGGATGACATCTGTTTGTCAAATGAACTTTTCTGCCTTTTTTCCCCCAAATTAAGGAGCACATCAGATCAGAAGCCAAATTAAAGCTTTAACATTTGGTGAAGCTAAACGACTTGTAGGTTGCTAAATTAAAGTTGGGGTTAGGTTTAAGCAATCTTGATTTTGCCTCATCGGGCTCTCACTTGATGCATGATGTAGTATTGATAGTGGAAAAAGATAATTAATTTATTCTATGGCTTGTTAAAAGAAGGTTTGTATTCCATTTCATTAA